CTATTAATATAGTGTCAATATAAACATCTATGTACTGTGGAGTATGTGGGTACAGTTTATGTACACAATTTAAAGGTCAGAATGACCTAATAGATCACAGACACTTTCATGTATACTGGTCCCAGATCTCTATAATTATATATAGAAGAACTTACAGCATCTTGTCTGATGAACTGTATTTTCAGTATTTATTCAACAGTAATCTGTATGTTATCCCTCAGGCTTATCACAGGATAAGTATGGTATCCCTGAAAGACAGAAAACATAAATAAGATAAACATTAAGAAAATTACAGAACTTTTGCAGACATCCTTAAGTAGTAAATTCCCTTATTTTGATCAATAATAAGCCCATGCTTGGTAATAAGGCCACTCATGTAATACTGTTCAATTGTCCTGTAATAAGCTTACCCTGGCTTTTAGGAATTAGAAAGTTTGTCAGTCCCCTTAAACTTAATGCATGATAAATTTCATTGATTAGTTTCAAACTAAGGGGAGGTAAGCTAGTATTTTTATAGAATCTGGACAATGTTTTACATAATCTTACTAACAGGTTAGTCACCAATAATGTTCCATTAATTCATTACATAGGGACCTTACAATCTGAAAATTGTTGTGAGACAGTCTTAAGATCTTTATAATTTTGATACAGATGTACTATATTCTAATGATCTAGAAGTTCATTGGTCACCAAACTTCATGGCCAATGTGTGGAACAATGCCTGAAGACTGCAACACATCAGATAAAGGTCACAGTGACCTAGTTTTCCACTATTCTGATGGTTGTTTTACTTAACATTAAAAGACAGGTTCTGTCAGTCTCTGTCACTTTTCTGTCAAAGCTGTGTAATTCAATAATAACTTTTGCTAGCATTTTCTGGTACATCTATAATACAGTAGATGTAATCATATAGATTTGAGATTCTGTCAAGTCAGAAGAGATGCACTAAATTTTCTGACTGTTGTCGTTGTGTCCTTCGATAAAATCTTTTTAACCATATTGATGTGGATAATATGCAACAAGACTTCTACATGTTGTTTATTGAGGCGGCCACCAGCTAACAATCTTTTTGAACCATATTGATGTGGATAATATAAACAACAAGACAAAATTCCATCTGTTACATGTTGTTTATTTTCTCAGTTATGAAAGAGGAAAGGATAGATATGATTGAATTGATCCAAAATTAACATACAACTTTTTAAGATCAAAAGCATACAGCAATGACAATGATATGAAAGAAGTCAGTTGAATCCTTTTGGAAAACACTTCCATACACTACTAGGTCTGATGTATATAAGTTGTATGGCCTTTTAAATGCATGCCAGTAGTGACCTATTCAAACTTGAATATGAATCCTCTGGCACATGATGTGTTTGTTTTCCATTTCCATATACTTTACTGGTCGGTAGAAAGATCCACATATAGAGCTTTTACACTTTCATTTAAACTGACTTGTACACACTTAACATATCTTATTTCTGTTTTGTATATATGTAAGCTACCGTTACAGATTTCTCAAGTATTTTGAGGTTGTTTAATATAAACAAAAGAAGGGTCAACTACGTGATTGGGATGTTTATTCAGGTCGTGTTTGGTCTGTTCCTGTCTTTTGAGGACACTCAGGTCATCATAGAGCCTGTATGGTCAAACAGTGGTCATTTTCAACCTCGTCATTGTAAAGTACTTGTTACGGTAAATAATCTTTAAACTTGAGCAGTGTCGCCACTGACCTGATTTTGTAAGGTCAACCTCATATTGGCCATATCCTGTTCAGCTGAGATTGTGGAAAAAACTAGATGCACCTGATATTTCTTAACTTCTGATCAGTATTGACAAGTTTCAGATTCAATTCTTATGTCTAGTATGGATACAATAATGTTTAAACAAAACAGAACATCAACTTAACACACACAGGTAACTGTACAAAAGAATTGATTATAAGGTTGTTTTACTTGCTGGCTCTTTGATAAACCCTATCACTCTTAATTTTGTAGGCCATAACTAAACATTAATTGATAGTAGAATGACAATACTGGTTAGCCCATTTTTGTTTATTGCTTTGACCTCTTCGACTAAGGTAATTGTTCGTTTTTGAAATGAGGACAGATCTAGACCTACTGATCTTTCCGGCGAGCCTAATGACAAAGCCTTTTAAGACATGTATTAATGTGGCTCTGTCCAGATTCCAACCTGAAATGTTATTCTGCTTAGACAAACTGGCTCCTGAACTAGTATATTTTTAAATTGCATCCAGGTCTGAGGCTGATTACTGTAACATCATACATATTGGTTGGGCCAAATTTTCATGGTTTATCAAAAGAAAAAATTCCCATCAGTATTTTTTGAACCTTTGATTATGGTGGATTAACTCAATAGATCTAAGTATACTAATTTTAACAGTTGGTGGATATACAAATTGGTGGAGTAAGAGTACTCACAAAATTAACAAAAATAGTAACCCTACAAAAATTTATGATTATACAGTGTTAAGATTGTGTAGCTTCAATGCATTTTAACACAGGTCTATGAAAGCAAAATATGCTGACTCTTGATACTTGCCAATAATTTTTGCATCGTTTTGTTGCCAAAGTACAGGCTTATAAACATTCCTCAAGAGAAAATCTCATTCCTTTTGATTACTATGTCAGAATATCCTACTTGTAGGGCGCTCAATAAAATCTTCCGCGTAAGCATTGGCTTATGGCATTTTCCATGGAAATCTCCTTTGAGAATCTGACAATTGATGCAGTACATTCCTTACATGATGTGTTGGCTCCATACCAAACTTGATTATGTTTGGATAACATGGTAAACATTTATGTGGTTCAGCTCATTCAGTGGTCAATATCGAACATTTCCACTTCAAAGGAAGATCCAGTTTAGTGTGCAGGTTCATTTTCTACCTAAGGGAGCAGTTTGTGTTTCTCTGAGACCACAGACTATCCTTTGCTATTGTAGTTAAGGAGGGTCTTCTGTATGTTGTTCAGTGAGATAGCCACCAGCTACTACAAGATTCCCCACCTCAAAATGACCCTGGTTGTTCGCAGTGTGTTAAGTATAACATATGATGGAGCCACTGTTTCTCCTCATTTCTCCATTTCACTTTATTGATATCATATGAAACAACACCTTTTTTGAGTCATGATTGGTTGATAATATTGACTAACTGCTGTCAAGCATACCAGGGACATTTGTGGAACAAATTGTACATGAATCATAATGAACGCCAAGATAAAAATTAGTCTTCATGTATGTACTTCTATCAACAAAACTTCAATCAATATGGAGATAATTAAAAGATTCCAACTTCCTGATTACTTGGTGTCCTAGTAAAGAAAACGTTAATTGTGTTATTATTAGTGTAGCATGACTGAGTGAGAGGGTAACTTTATATGTTCAGGTTTGGATATTTCAGTGTGACAGTACTATACCATGATGGATATTGTCTTCAAAAGTCTTTAGCTGTTGTGAGAACACAAAATCTCCGAAACAAATACTTCAAAATCTGAAGTTTCATTACGGACGTGATTTAAGCTCATATCTAAAGAAACTTTTAAGTGGTTTCTTGTATCAGGGTGGGCTTATTGACGGTAATTTACGGTGAGAAGTATCATGCCCTCCGTTGTTTGTTTTAATATTTCACAACTAGATTACAAACATTTACTGCTATTTGCATTCACATAATGTGAATGTGTGCACAATACACAGGTATGTTTGTAGACGAGTATATTGTCTGGTCACCAGGACCACAGTGTTGACTTAATATGAAGAGTTAGTAACCCATGGTACAACATCTCTGCTGAAAACGGAGACCATGATATAGGTAGAGACACATTATCAGTATCATATTGGAACCTGCCAAAACAGAAGGCATTTTAGAAAAAAAAAATTTGTACAAAATGTAATTTTTGCATTAAGTGACTAAAAAGTTTATAAAAATTTCTGAGAAGCATTTAACTATATAGTGAGAACTGTTTCTCCTGTTTTGAAAAATTACGTTATATGGACTGTTTACAAGAATTAGCTTTGAAAAGGATGTAAGGAGGTGGGACTTATGTCAAATTGTATACATACTGGGTGTATGATAAATGTAGTTACATCGTTTGAACATTGGCCCTGAAAATAGTGAAATACTTCAACAAACTTTTATGTAGCTATTTTCTAGGAATTATTTTGATTATAATAACATCTTCTTAAGGAAGATTGAGGATTAAATGGTGTCATATTCCTAGATAATTTTCATGCGAAAAGAAAACATTGAATTTAAATATTTCAATTAAAGGGAAATAACTCTGATAGCCTAAGAAAATTATTACAGTGAATGTGTTGTTTGCACACACATATATATAATGGACTTTTAATTTCAAGAATATCCTTAACAACAGGATTTATTATTAACTTGATTTACTACCCACTACTATCCATTTTTTCAATTTATCAAAAAAAGATTTGTCATTTTTGTAGTATTTTATTTTGTGAAAATTGCTAGCTAGCTTTTACATATCTAACTGAAATACATGGAAAATACAGTGATGATTGTGAGTAAATTTTATCAGAAAACAGCTCATCTTGGAGATGAATAGGATAGTGGTATACTTTAGGCCTTTGTTCATGTGTCGTATCTTAGTCAGGCCCATTGTAGGTAGAATACTGACGAATCAGGACAATTCTATAAAGAAAATTCCATATATCTGTTAATATCTTCATCAAACAATCAATTCATCACATCAGATCATAATAAAAGTTCTACTCTTCATTATATTTACATAGTTATTGGTCAAGGTCAAAAGGTTTTAAAAATGTCATATTTGACCATTTCTGTAAATTTATCAAATATCAATGTTTTTATGCCTGGGAGGTGTGGGGTGTTCATGTCTTACAGATATTTTTTAGCCCAGTTTCCTGATAGCTTAAATTTTTCATCAAGCTTCAGTTAATAAGCAAGGTTATAAATAAATTATTATAACAAAAAAACTTTGTGTAATTATGTGTTACAGTGGCTATGGGAAGAAACATGTTGTCCAAGGATTGGAGCCACTCCGACAGTATACCTATCGACTACGCTTCGCCAATGATGCGGAGAAGGGAGAATGGAGCCAGCATGTCACTGTCACAACAACAAGTAAGTTATTGGAAAATGTTTGTGCGTGTTGTCATGGAAACCTGTTTTCTTGGAGACTTGACATTACTGTGATGCATTACAGTTACCTATGTGACCTGCATTAACAGGGCCATCCTCTATACTCCATGGGTTACCATCACTTTTACTCTCTGCACCCCTGGAATATGTCATTGTAAATCTGAAGGTACCATGTGTAGAAGTTCATGCAAAATTCTTCTTCCTGCAAAATAGTGATATCATATTCTTTTTTTTGTTGTATGCTTTATGAAACTTGGGTAAATGTTTGTTAGTTTTCCTGTTGGTTCCATTGTTGTATACCTTATTCTCTTTTGAGAATGTGACATTATTTACTTGGATTGACCAAGATTTACATAGTGGGTATCATCAATGAATCTGAAGGTGCTTTTTCTTCCAGAACACCTGGTCTTATTCTGTACATTTTGGGAGTCTCTGTGTAAATCTTCCTTTTTTTCATATTTTCCCCTAGTTTTATTCACAGTGAGATGAACCCAACATGTAGTCTTGAGAGACTTACATGTTAATAAGCTCCTCCACCTCATCATTAACAGCCTCTGACTCGAGTAAACAAACATCAGTCTGAAAATAGACTTAACCCCTTGGTCAAATCAAGAAGTTTGGAAGCTGTTTTTCACAGCATCAGTATCAAAGGTAAAGAGTGGAGTCAGTGAACCTTAAGATCTTTAGATGAACATTAAAAATATATATGTGGCAAAATTGACAGACCCACAACAATATGAGACAAGAGATTTTATACTTTATATTTGATTAATTACCAATGAGGTGTCCATATTTCTCCTTAGTGGAGTAAATAACTGTGATAGGCTTTCCTGTTGCTTCATCTTACTTGTAGTGGTAATAAGGTTGTTTGTTTGATGTGGTAAGTTTGTTGAGTTGGTTTCTTATCATAGATTACTTTTTCAAACACTTTCGCATATTCTAGCGTAAAGTGTGTAGGTTTTCAGGAATGTCCTGGACTGTTCAGAATATTTGAACCAATAAAAAATCTTCCTGTCATGATTTTTCCATCCATTAATAGCTTTAGAACCTATTTGTTCTATGGTTTACACACACAATTAGTACAAATGGCACTGTGTTTGATTACACTCTTTGAAAAGACAAATAAAAAGTACTAGAAAAAAAGAAAACCAGAAAAATGGATTCTTTTTGATATAAAAAAAAAGAACAAAAAACATAAAAAAAAAAAAAAAACAAACCAAATAAAAGAGCATACTGGAAAAATAATTTCCTGGCTGCAATATTTCTGAGTTAGAGGCATTGACTAGTACTCAGTTTTAATAAAGAAAACTGCCTAATTGGTGGCCATTCAAAAATTAACTTATCAACAGCACAAAGACTTATTATTTTGAAAATTTTCTGTACTGGTATTACCAACTTAGGTGGACACTGATTCGCCTCTTCTATGGATGGAACTGTTGAGATTTATAAAATTCTACATTACCTGAAAGGTGTTGGTCTATAAAGGCAGGTGATTCATTCCCTACTTACACGAGTCCAGAGTCTAGGAAGGTGATTCATTCCCTACTTACAAGAGTCTAGGAAGGTGATTCATTCCCTACTTACCAGAGTCTAGGAAGGTGATTCATTCCCTACTTACCAGAGTCTAGGCAGGTGATTCATTCCCTACTTACCAGAGTCTAGGAAGGTGATTCATTCCCTACTTACAAGAGTCTAGGAAGGTGATTCATTCCCTACTTACAAGAGTCAGATTCATTCCCTACTTACCAGAGTCTAGGTCATTCCCTACTTACAAGAGTCTAGGCAAGGTGATTCACCTACTTACAAGATTACAAGAGTCTAGGAAGGTGATTCATTCCCTACTTACCAGAGTCTAGGAAGGTGATTCATTCCCTACTTACAAGAGTCTAGGAAGGTGATTCATTCCCTACTTACAAGAGTCTAGGAAGGTGATTCATTCCCTACTTACAAGAGTCTAGGAAGGTGATTCATTCCCTACTTACCAGAGTCTAGGAAGGTGATTCATTCCCTACTTACAAGAGTCTAGGAAGGTGAGAGTCTAGGAAGGTGATTCATTCCCTACTTACCAGAGTCTAGGAAGGTGATTCATTCCCTACTTACAAGAGTCTAGGAAGGTGATTCATTCCCTACTTACAAGAGTCTAGGAAGGTGATTCATTCCCTACTTACCAGAGTCTAGGAAGGTGATTCATTCCCTACTTACCAGAGTCTAGGAAGGTGATTCATTCCCTACTTACCAGAGTCTAGGAAGGTGATTCATTCCCTACTTACAAGAGTCTAGGAAGGTGATTCATTCCCTACTTACCAGAGTCTAGGAAGGTGATTCATTCCCTACTTACCTACTTACAAGAGTCTAGGAAGGTGATACATTCCCAACCTACTGGTGTCTAAGTAAGCAATTCATTCCCTACTTACCAGAGTCTAGGAAGGTGATACATTCCCTACTTACCAGAGTCTAGGCAGGTGATTCATTCCCTACTTACCAGAGTCTAGGAAGGTGATTCATTCCCTACTTACAATCCCTACTTACAAGAGTCTAGGAAGGTGATTCATTCCCTACTTACCAGAGTCTAGGAAGGTGATTCATTCCCTACTTACCAGAGTCTAGGAAGGTGATTCATTCCCTACTTACCAGAGTCTAGGAAGGTGATTCATTCCCTACTTACCAGAGTCTAGGAAGGTGATTCATTCCCTACTTACCAGAGTCTAGGAAGGTGATTCATTCCCTACTTACCAGAGTCTAGGCAGGTGATTCATTCCCTACTTACCAGAGTCTAGGAAGGTGTTCCCTACTTACCAGAGTCTAGGAAGGTGATTCATTCCCTACTTACCAGAGTCTAGGCAGGTGATTCATTCCCTACTTACAAGAGTCTAGGAAGGTGATACATTCCCAACCTACTGGTGTCTAAGTAAGCAATTCATTCCCTACTTACCAGAGTCTAGGAAGGTGATACATTCCCTACTTACCAGAGTCTAGGAAGGTGATACATAACAAACATACAATAGTCTAGGAATGTGATTCATTCCCTACTTACCAGAGTCTAGGAAGGTGATTCATTCCCTACTTACCAGAGTCTAGGAAGGTGATTCATTCCCTACTTACAAGAGTCTAGGAAGGTGATTCATTCCCTACTTACCAGAGTCTAGGAAGGTGATTCATTCCCTACTTACAAGAGTCTAGGCAGGTGATTCATTCCCTACTTACCAGAGTCTAGGAAGGTGATACATTCCCTACTTACCAGAGTCTAGGAAGGTGATTCATTCCCTACTTACCAGAGTCTAGGCAGGTGATTCATTCCCTACTTACAAGAGTCTAGGAAGGTGATTCATTCCCTACTTACAAGAGTCTAGGAAGGTGATTCATTCCCTACTTAACAGAGTCTAGGAAGGTGATTCATTCCCTACTTACAAGAGTCTAGGAAGGTGATTCATTCCCTACTTACCAGAGTCTAGGAAGGTGATTCATTCCCTACTTACAAGAGTCTAGGAAGGTGATTCATTCCCTACTTACAAGAGTCTAGGAAGGTGATTCATTCCCTACTTACCAGAGTCTAGGCAGGTGATACATTCCCTACTTACCAGAGTCTAGGAAGGTGATTCATTCCCTACTTACAAGAGTCTAGGAAGGTGATTCATTCCCTACTTACCAGAGTCTAGGAAGGTGATTCATTCCCTACTTACAAGAGTCTAGGAAGGTGATTCATTCCCTACTTACCAGAGTCTAGGAAGGTGATTCATTCCCTACTTACCAGAGTCTAGGAAGGTGATTCATTCCCTACTTACCAGAGTCTAGGCAGGTACATTCCCTACTTACAGAGTCTGATTCATTCCCTACTTACAAGAGTCTAGGTGATTCATTCCCTACTTACCAGAGTCTAGGAAGGTGATTCATTCCCTACTTACCAGAGTCTAGGAAGGTGATTCATTCCCTACTTACCAGAGTCTAGGTCTAGGAGGTGATTCATTCCCTACTTACCAGAGTCTAGGCAGGTGATTCATTCCCTACTTACCAGAGTCTAGGAAGGTGATTCATTCCCTACTTACCAGAGTCTAGGAAGGTGATTCATTCCCTACTTACCAGAGTCTAGGAAGGTGATTCATTCCCTACTTACAAGAGTCTAGGAAGGTGATTCATTCCCTCTAGGTCTAGGTGATTCATTCATTACCCTACTTACCAGAGTCTAGGAAGGTGATTCATTCCCTACTTACCAGAGTCTAGGAAGGTGATTCATTCCCTACTTACCAGAGTCTAGGAAGGTGATTCATTCCCTACTTACCAGAGTCTAGGAAGGTGATTCATTCCCTACTTACCAGAGTCTAGGAAGGTGATTCATTCCCTACTTACCAGAGTCTAGGAAGGTGATTCATTCCCTACTTACCAGAGTCTAGGAAGGTGATTCATTCCCTACTTACCAGAGTCTAGGAAGGTGATTCATTCCCTACTTACCAGAGTCTAGGAAGGTGATTCATTCCCTACTTACCAGAGTCTAGGAAGGTGATTCATTCCCTACTTACCAGAGTCTAGGAAGGTGATACATTCCCTACTTACCAGAGTCTAGGCAGGTGATTCATTCCCTACTTACCAGAGTCTAGGAAGGTGATTCATTCCCTACTTACCAGAGTCTAGGAAGGTGATACATTCCCTACTTACCAGAGTCTAGGAAGGTGATTCATTCCCTACTTACCAGAGTCTAGGAAGGTGATTCATTCCCTACTTACCAGAGTCTAGGAAGGTGATTCATTCCCTACTTACAAGAGTCTAGGAAGGTGATTCATTCCCTACTTACAAGAGTCTAGGAAGGTGATTCATTCCCTACTTACAAGAGTCTAGGCAGGTGATTCATTCCCTACTTACCAGAGTCTAGGCAGGTGATTCATTCCAAACCTGTTGTACACTAGGTAGGGGGTCCATTCCAAAGCTGTTGTACTCTAGGTAGTTGATCCAATCTTAACCTGTTGTACTCTAGGTAGGTGATCCAATCTAAACCTGTTGTACTCTAGGTACGTGATCCAATCTAAACCTGTTGTACTCTAGGTAGGTGATCCATTCCAAACATGTTGTACTTTAGGAAGGTGATCCAATCCAAAACTGTTGTACTCTAGGTAGGTGATCCATTCCAAGCTGTTGTACTCTAGGTAGGTGATCCAATCTAAACCTGTTGTACTCTAGGTAGGTGATCCAATCTAAACCTGTTGTACTCTAGGTTGTTGATCCAATCTAAACCTGTTGTACTCTAGGTAGTTGATCCAATCTTAACCTGTGGTACTCTAGGTAGGTGATCCATTCCAAACATGTTGTACTCTAGGTAGGTGATCCAATCTTAACCTGTTGTAGTCTAGGTAAATGATAATTCCCAAACTTCTTCTGTTGTAATGAATGTATTTTGACTTTATTTCATTACAAATATCCTTGGATGAAGGGTTCTCAAATTTTATGTAAATGAAGAAACTGCAGAGAGACAGGGCCTTATATGGGAATCAGTTTGAAATCAATCTTTATTTCTGCTTGGATGAAGGTATCTTATCAAATATTTGAAGCGAAAGCTGAAGTGAGTGATACAGGCACAAAAGGCCTCTTGTTATTTGGGCAACAAGGGTCATGGCAAAACGTTTGTTTTCATCTAAAACTGATCCCAATATCATAACTTCAAAAATATCATAATTGTTTCAGATGTTGTGTTTTGGTTTTTACAAATAATTAAAAACAAAAAAATGATACATGTCAGTGGTTTACTGTATCATCAGTTAGTTACTGCAACACGAAGAGATATTTGAACATATGACTTACTGATAAAATAAAACAAATCAAACCACAGAAATAATTGCAAAAAAGATAATGAATGAAATCATAAACATTTCCTGGGTGTTCTGAATTCATATGTCCATGAACTGTAATAAACATTTGTATAAGAAGTAAGAAGACTTATTGAGCTCTTTAATCATCCACAAAATGAATTGTCCACGAAATTATTTTGAAAAACCATGAAAATTGAGCTCCAGCAAATGTATGATTTTTTAGCAAAGATGATAATATTAAATTCAGGCATAAACTAAGTTGATTTGAACCTTTTCAGTATTTTAAGCATAATCTTTGTTTTTTTTTTCAAAAGAAACGGCTCCGAAATCAAACAGTTTTAAATACAAAAAGGCTAAATTCACAAAAAACACTAGCTGGGATAGAAACATTTCCAAAATCTTTTCTATTCATTAAAACAAGGTTAAGTTTTTCGTACAAAAACCTACACATTTTTGAGGTAATATTATTGTAGTGCTATTTTCAATAAACATATACTGCTGCAGTATCTCTATGTTGATTATGTAGCACTTCTTATGGTTCTAACGGATCATTGCACTTATTTCTCAAGAAATCTTAGTCATACTAAGTTTGTTTACATTATCTAAAGGGCTATTAGCCAACGCTAGACATTATAGTTCATTATTTTCTTAAGGTAGTCCATCCCTTCAATTGAATGGGATAAAACTAGATTTTTTAATAGAGGATATATTTACACCACAATAAACACATAAATCACATATGTCACCACTTTACTTTTACTGCCACATCTTATCACTCCTTTACACAACCTGATTTTACAACAGTACACCTAATTTTCGGTTTAAAAAGTACATACATAGCCTAACCTCAGGCTGGCTTTTTCATTTCCTTACATATCATTACCAATACTTCAATCCTTTTCATAATTTCTTTTTGGAATTGGATACAAATATGCCATTAAAAGAAACTAATAGAATGCTGTTCTGAGTTTTTTTTTCTACTTTCATATTTGACAGTTAACATTCTGTACAATTGCTGATAATCATGATCATTGATAACTAAGTGAAAGTAAGTTTATTGTTCTGATATTCATGTTTATACCTCTTCTGAGGAACCCTTGTGTTTTTATTTAATATACCCATCTTATTATATTTACCAGTACTTTGTTTACAAAATTTCTCACCCTTACCCCATCATTTTGTGATTAGCAAACACTACAAAATGCTAAGGAGAAATGCAAACTCCAAAACTGGATACAGATAGAGGGTTATAACACTTATCAAAATATTACCAGACTCTGGAAAGAGTGGCATCACAGAAGGGTGGATCTATGTTAAATTCCATCATCAGAAATTCAATTGATGCTTTATCATTTCCGTATGATGAGCCTGTCTCATCACTTTGAGTTTCAGTCGGAGGTAAAATGATGGCTCCAGAGTTTATTGCTCTGAGTTTGAGTAAGAGGTAATGTGATGGTTCCAGGGCTTATTGCTCTGAGTTTAGTAAGAGGTAATGTGATGGTTCCAGGGCTTATTGCTCTGAGTTTGAGTCAGAGGTAATGTGATGGTTCCAGGGCTTATTGCTCTGAGTTTAGTAAGAGGTAATGTGATGGTTCCAGGGCTTATTGCTCTGAGTTTGAGTCAGAGGTAATGTGATAGTTCCAGGGCTTATTGCTCCGAGTTTAGTAAGAGGTAAAATGATGGCTCCAGAGTTTATTGCTCTGAGTTTGAGTAAGAGGTAATGTGATGGTTCCAGGGCTTATTGCTCTGAGTTTAGTAAGAGGTAATGTGATGGTTCCAGGGCTTATTGCTCTGAGTTTGAGTCAGAGGTAATGTGATAGTTCCAGGGCTTATTGCTCTGAGTTTAGCAAGAGGTAATGTGATGGTTCCAGGGCTTATTGCTCTGAGTTTGAGTCAGAGGTAATGTGATGGTTCCAGGGCTTATTGCTCTGAGTTTTGAGTAAGAGGTAATGTGATGGTTCCAGGGCTTATTGCTCTGAGTTTGAGTAAGAGGTAATGTGATGGCTCCATGGCTTATTGCTCTGTATTAATACAGTAGATTACAATATCACTTCACCTGGTCCAAAGGACCTATGATCTTATGCCATATCATAGGGTCTGTCATCTGTTGCTTATGCTATACTGCAGCATCCATGATCTGACAACTTTTTTTTCTCAGAATCACTACTACTCATTAATGACTCAGTGGATTTTGACTAAATTTGGAAACCAATTATGTATAAATGATGGATCTAGGTCACCAGGGGCATGAGGGTTGGGCCCAAAAGTAGAAATTTGAAATCTAACTTCTCCTGTAGGATTTATAGGATTTTGCCCAAATTTGATCTGGAGCATCCTTGGGTGCGGAGAAATACATTCTGTACAAACAGTTGACCTCAGCCCTTTGTGGAAGGGGTCCATTTTAGGAAATAGAGCAAATCCTTTAAAATCTTACTCATCTTATCAGAATTATTGGATATTGCCCAAATTTGATCTGCAGCATTCTTGGTGAAGGGGAATCAATATTATGTAAACGCTGGGTCTTGGCTCCCTTGGATGGGAGAGGTGCAGACCAATAGGGGATATAAAGCAAATTATTAAAAATATTCTCAAAATTCAATGTCTCTAGTAGGAATGTTCAGATTATGCCCAAATTTGACCCAAAGCATTCTTGGTTGAAGATTCAGTTTTGGACTCGTTGGAACAAAAGGGGCCTGCAAAATTTGGGAAATAGGGTCAATTCTATAAGATTGTTCTTTTGTAAGAATGCTTGGATTCTGTCCAAATTTTGTTTGAGGCATGATTGGATGAAGGGGATCAATTTTGTATGGGTGGGAGGGGGCCCAATAGTGGAAATAGAGAAAATTATTTAGATTTGGTCTGGGGTAAATAGAACTTCGTTTTTAAATATACTTCGCATCTCACCCACTTCAGATAGAGGGGTGTGGCCTAATAGGGGAAATAGAAACAAGTGTTTTGAAATCTTTTCCTTTAATCGATTTCAGCAAACTGAGCCAGGCGAGTGATACAGGCCCTATGGGCTTCTTGTTTTAAAATGATGCCCTTGTGCCCACACATCAATTTGCTTACGTGCTTAAGAGCATATGTCAGGTTTTGAACTTTATCTTAATAGGAAGTTCATGCAACCAGGCTGTCAAATGCAAACTGCCAATTTATTCTGCCACTTCCTGTAATCTTATAATTCCATAGCTCTTGTACAAACATCATCAAAGATACATCTGATTTCCAGTGTTGTCACAACAATTAATTCTGTTTTATTTTGACTATTAAAGAGGCACTTATTGTATCATTATGGCATTTCTTCTTTATTTCAGGGAGGTGAATATTGATACTCCAGACAATTTAGGTTTCTCAGCACTGATGCAAGCTTCCAGGAAAGGTGATGCAGAGTAAGTACTGATTTCCTGTATAAAAGATAAAGGACATTATGCTCCTGTTGGGGAATTTTTGTATAAAACATGACAAATTTTATGCTTATGTCTATGAACTTTATGTCATTTTGTTGTGGGGTTTATCAAATATTAATTATTGTAACAATCCATTAAAAACATGATATCGATAATTGTGTGAAATGTGGTATTTACATATATTAGATATACAAACTGTGTCACTCACAGTTACCAAATCTATCTATGATAAGCATTGTGTAAGGACAGTGGGCCGTGAAAAATTAGGCCATATGAAAATATATGATTTCACAGTTGTGTTTTCCAACCTAATTAACTATTCTGGTTTAAATCTTAATAAAGAAAAAATCATGGTTTTTAAGATATAAAAATTGATGTATTTATTGTTTTTAGAATGACAGAATTGCTGCTTAAATTTGGTGCAGATGTAAATTTAAAGAATGATTCCGGTAAAACAGCGTAAGTAATCTTTTTTAAAGTCTATCAGATTTCTATGCATTTCATTTTCTGTGACTTGAATAAAATATTAGGGAGTGTTCAGTAGGTAAAGGATTAGCCTACGTAACCACTGGTGAAGATCTGAGCTGTGCGTTTCAATGATCCCTACATGTGATGTGTGTTTCTCAGAGACCTGAGAACCAGACTGGCCACTTTTACCCTAATTGCTCTGGATGACATGTGGCACACCTCCTGTATGTTGTTCAGTGAGGTATACATCAGCCACTACAATGAAAACCTATTTCCCAATGACCCTGATTGTTGACAGGGTATTAACCCCAACAAACGAAAAACCCTACCTTTTGTGTTGATGAATGTTCACAGGTTGATGCTTGCAAGCTTTGCTGGTCAGAAGGATACTGTAAAACTCCTTCGTCAATATGGTGCCAGATATGACGACTTTGACAACGGTGGGTCGACAGCCATTCATTGGGCAGTGGATGGAGCCCATCCCTCCCTCATAGACTGGATGATCTCGGATGGCGCTGATCCAAATATCTGTGACAAACACTCAGGCTGGACACCTTTATTGCGTTGTGGTCAGTTTTTGCAAAAAAAAGGGCCTGTGAGGTTTTTTTTGTTGCTCACCTGAAGGGATTAAACAGGCACATGCCTATCAGTTGGTATCCATGTACACAGGCACTTAACCTATATTCTTCAATGTATTAATTCACTGTATACATGTTTGTCTGGAATTAAATTTCATGCTACCTTTAGTGACTACAAATAGAAAGAATATGTCATAATGCAGGGAAAAAAGCCAGTGATAAAAGAGCTTCTCTGTAGTAAACTATTCAATACTTTGGTTCAAATCTTTTCAAAATTGCAAAAATTGTCCCCTTTTAAAGAGATTATGGAAACAGCATGAGCAAAGCATGTATTTATTTTGATGAAAAAAATAAATTAATGAAAATTTTCATCGCTTTGAAGAATTTTTTGCTTTGGGTTTGTAGTCAAAAGAAATTTTTTTATTTGAAACAGGCTTGAGATATTGCTTTTTTTTTTTTCACAGCGTCCGTGTCGGGTAACTACCAAGTGGCATCTTGTCTTCTGCGTGAGGGTGCCAACATCAACTGCCAGGACATTGATGGCAAAACACCAATCATGATCTCCATCATTAATAAGAACGACCAGCTATTGGATCTCCTTCTCAAGAGAAACGCTGATTGTACCATTACAAATAAGGTATGTAAATCGATCAGCTCACTTTATCATGTAGGTCATGTTCAAGGTGACTTAGGCCAAGGTCAGATGTGATTTGTACATAGATTAGCCTTGCTTATATAAGGTGAAGTCTTTCAATCATGGGTGACATTCTTGAACGAGAAAAGAGAACTTTGGTGAAATACTAGACACTAGTAGATGATTGGTTACTCTTTCTCTGAAATAATCAAACTCTCAGTTTTCTGGAGAAATACTACATAAAATATTTTGTAATTAAGTGCTTGTTTCAGATTTATATAGACTAATGAAAAAAACCACTGCTTTTTAACCCAATCTTCATAAAATGCTTCATTGCTGAGCTAGGTTAAATAAAATATGCATAATTTGATTTTTGCAAAGAGGAAGCATAATAATGTTTCAAAGTTCTGATACAATGGCAGTTTTGTTACTTTTTTTTTATTGATTCATATTCATGCCGCCAACATTTCCCTGATATCCGAATGTCCAATCCTTTTCCGAATCAATGTTATATGTTGAGAATCTTTTAACAAATTTGGTTATTATTTTTTCCCCATAGAATCATCACATCATTAGATTTTCTTATTTGGTTATGCTCTTTCAGAGAGCAGTTCTGGCAAATTCATGCTAGAGGTAATATACTTCTTTGTTCGATCACTGTCAGAATATAGTAGAGTTATACACATGTATATTCAGGCAGTAGCAGTTCTTACTTTGCTATACCTACAACTAGATAGATATCTGTATGATTATTTGTGTGTATTTTTTGTTACAGTACGGGAAGAATGTGTATGATATGGCGCTAGCCATGGAGAAGAGGGTAAGTTTTAGATGACAAGGCTTTACATATTATTCAGAACAACAAACCAATTTTTGATAAAATTTTGTAATTGATTGATGGAAATTTTTAGATGATTAAAGCCATTAAATGCTTTTGCCTTTACAAAAATAACTTCATCAAACTAAACATTTTCAATCTTCCAGAAGTTTCTTTATTTAGTTTTCTTTAAATCTGTAAAATTATATCAACACTATGGTAATGTATGTAAGAATATCTAAAAATAAAACTGGTAAACTTATATGCCTAAAAATACCTAACCTACAACTGTGCCAAATTACATCCAAGGAACCCATGGATGGTAAACTTGAAAACATGCATTACCGACAGTTTATGAGCATGCAGTAAATTATTTGTTATTTTACAGTGTATTAAGTACACTATGCAAAGGTTGTTCCAAAATAATAAACATATAAATTTAATGAATCCATACACTTCATTTAAAACTTTATTAAACATACTTTTAACTTTAGTCTTCTGATCTGTGATTTTGATAGCCAATCTTCCAGTTTTAAAAACAACTCAATCTGTGCATGCATAGTTGACATATTACCCAGATTTGCTTTAACAGACAGAGTGGAGAGCCACTTTAGATATTTCCAATATCAGTTTCTTTGTTTTATTTGCAATTATGAAGCAGTATTGGTTTTCACATGATATCATCATAAGGATATATATTCTATTCAGCATGTTATTGTAATCTTTTCATGATGTATTTGTTAATTTCAAGAAAATACAGAGGCTTTAAGTCTTCTATTTTAGTCTTTGAGTATCAGTTTGAATGTATCCTGTCTGTCAAGTCACTGAACAACTAAATAACAGCATGAATCAATTACACAGCTGTAATCAAGTTCTTCATTAAACATTAGACTGAATAATCAAAGTCATCGTTTTCTGTGTTAGTTAGAGAAATACCCCCTTCCCCACAAAAAAAACATACTTTCAACATTATCAATATCTTTGTTGAAAAATAAACTTTGATAGAATAGAAATTCTTATGAGACAACAAGTAGAAGATTAGATTAGAGAGTGATATTTCGATAACTATATGGTCTCCTTCATCACACAAATGACCAGTGTGGTGTGTACTAGCACTGACATATGTAGTGTACAAGATGGTATGAAAATGAGCAACTTTTTTTCTGCTGTACTATAATCCTATACATACAGATGTTGACAATAGTGTGACAACATCTGCTACGGTTCTATTCTACTGTTATTATCAACCTGAAGAAAATGTTCGGAAGTAATCTTTGGCAGATTTTATTGCAATCAAACTCCAGTCTGTTCATCTGTTATGAAATACAACATATTGTTGGTGAAAATGAATATTAAAAAATGTGATGTATAATAAGTCTTAAATCTTGAAAAAATTTGTCTTTTGTACAGAGCATCATTGCCCGGCTGGATAAGCATATAGAAGAAAAAGGGATCAAAGGTGTGAAACGTGTATAAAGATGTAAAGATACAGGCACCAGTCTCGGCAATACTACAGTTTATCACTGACATTCCATCAAGAATCTAAAAAAAAACACGGTTGATTCATCTCTAAATCTGTCTAATTTTGTTCAGGAAAAAAAGAAATATGGTCTTGAGGGGAAAAAGGATGATGGAATGTATTAAAATGTAACACCTGTAAAATTATTCATTTTTGTGGGCTTTTTATATTCTTTGGTTTCATTAGAGAAGAATTCTTTATCATAAGAGCCAAGAAATTTCAGTGCTGGTGGATTTTAGGAGTGCCAATAAAAAATTTTGAAAACCTGAAAATTTTAGCCCCACAAATATACATGATTTGGCAGTATTAATATTTGAATTAGAAGCATTTTTTCTATGGAAAAGGTGAGAGCTCTAGGTTTTGAAAAAAAAAGTTGATTTTTTTTTTTATTACTGAAGATATTTCTGTGATATAAGTGGTAATAAACTTTTGTTTCAAATTGTTTGTACAAAAAGTGCATTGATGAATAAGCATGAAAATCAGATAAATAAAAATCATAAATTTTATGTAGAGTTCAGAATTATCAGTTTAACCTTAAAAACAATGCAAATTTTTACTTGGTTCCATTAAACAAAATACCAGAGATTGAAAGTTTAATTTTTCCCCCAAAAATCAAGATAGTTATTCTTGTGTTGGAAATAGGGATCATCATTAATTGTCTTAAAGTGATTGACGATAAAATAAGTTAAATGTGTAATAGCAATTAGAATAATTTTATTGTATTATATAAATTTTTTGTCTGTTGTAAAACGATATCTTTCTATATTCTTGTAAGTATTGAATGAATGATATAGTAGCCTTGTCTCTCCTTCCGTCCATCCTTTGATCTATCTGTCTTTGTCTGTCTGTTCATCTGAAATTATCAAAAACATTTTTCAGTGATTAATTTTGACCATAATTATAGAACCTTAAGATAGATCAAATTAGTATAGGAATTCTTATTTTGTACTATAAGGAAATAGGTATTTTCTATTTGTTTGAATTTTGTTTCCTTCCAAATGGCTCGGAAAAAAGAACCTGAAAAAGTTCCTGAAAGGATTTATCAATCTGAAATTGCTCTGAAAAAAGAACCTGAGAAAGTCCCTGAAAGGATTTATCAATCTGAAAGTTTGATACAAAGCATGTACTGAAATAAACTTTTTATTGACAGGTAAAATTGAAAGAAATTGTCTTGTATTTTGCTTGCATTTTAACATGTATATGAACTATATAAATTTATGTAGTCTGCTAAGGCATGCTGTTTCATTTACTGGACATGAAAACATATAAAATCAAAATTAACCTTCCATTGTTAATTTCTTATTCTAGTCGAGCATTGTTTGTTCAGTTAATTTTGAACTGATGTCTTTTTGAAGATGTTTGCCTCCACATCCAATCAACTGCAGAATTTTTTCAGAAGTCTCTTTTTACAATCACGATTTAGAAAGAAAAAAAATTATACCGGCTTGTTTACTAATGCTCTCATATGTTTCATAAATGTTCAAAATGTTTTAGTTATTGTGAATTTTTTTCCTGGTATTTACAGACAGAATGTTGTTTCAGATTTTGATTTGATGTTAATTGTGCAAAATTGATTGTTGATGATAAGTCACGAAAATCTGCAGCATTATCTTTTTTCTTCCTGCCTTTTAGAATGTAGCATTACAATATAAAAATGTGTATTCAGAACTTTCTATTTTCTTACAGTTATTTTAATAGCAAAATGTTTTAACATTAATTAATTATCATATGAAATAATGAAAAATAATGCGGAGGCAAAAGTTATCATAATTTGTTCATAAAAATTTTAAAAATTTCTTAAAACATTGTTTATAAATGATCCAATCACATCATGAAGTATGGAATCAAGAAATTTTTCAACCTCATCTTATTTAACTTCATGCTTAGACTTGAGGCATCTGTGACCACTTTTTTCCTAAGAGTTACCTCCCTTCAACTACTAAGTTGAAAAACCATTGCCATCCATTGAAACTTTTCATTAACCATGAATAATTACCAAATATAAACAATGCCATTTTGATAACATATATCACTTCTTTTTATGAGGAGATTTGTATCTTTTCATTATAATTTATTTAGAATATTCAAAGCGTTCATTAAAAGAATATAAGATTTTATAGATTATAAATTAAGCTGTTTATATTTATAACAGGGACACATTTTACATGTATATATTGTTTATGAAATTGATTTTGTTTCCCTCTGTAATGGTTAAGCATTAAATGCTTATCTTGAATACTTTGAAATTTCAAGTCTTTTTTTATGAAAATTTCTTCGTCCCAACTTGATCACCGTATACTTCAGAACATTGAAATTTCTGCGACCAACAGGAGATGATTTTTTTTAAATTGTGAGATGACTAAATATTTCACACATGACTTCATTATGAGACTATATCATAAACTTGTCACTGATGTAAGCAGAATTTTATTGTCATTATTAAATAATAGATCTTTCTTGTATATTTGTATCTAGGGGATAGAAGAATTTTTCTCACTTTTTGTCTCATATCATATGAGATCAGCTACTGACTACCAAAACAAGTCCTTTGTAATCAAATTGCCCTGTTATTAGAGTTCATGTGATAACACCTTGATCTTAGTCATATTTATTGTTATATAATGTGGAAAGTGACGTAACTTTGATTGCTGTTATTAGATGTATACTATATTAAATGCACTTAAAACTTATTAGATTGACATGTATAACATATTTAGTATATTATACAAGTTTTAGTACAAGTATGACATATTTAGTGCATTTTGCCATATTTGTGTAACATGTATTTTGAATTGCGCTTGAGCTCAGTACTAGTAACCTCTCGTTTCTCCCCCCTCCCCCTAGTTAAGTCTTATTCATTAGTCAGACTACCTCCTTTTTTGACTAGATTTTCTGTTTTCCATTAAAGAATTCTCCTCTGTAATCCTGCCATTTCATCTTATGTAGTAACATCAGCTGAATTTTTTTTTTTTTTAAGTCGACTAGATAGAAAAAGCTTGACTGGACTAAATACTTTTCCAATCGGAAGAAAATGTTTTGAAATATTTTACAGATATATAGTATTTTGTTGCTACCAGAGTTTGAAAGCTTCTTTTGTGAAAATTGCATCCAGATCTGAAATTTCGGAAATTCAGTATCTTTTAAAACTTTCCATTCAACTTGTATGAAGAAAAATTGCTTTGATATATTTTGAAATCTCCATTCATATAAAAAAACATTTTGAACTAGAATTTCCATATGTCTGTAACATTGCTTTTTAAGGTGCATCTGCATATTGAGAAAAAAATGATGAATGAGTATAAGAAATTTATTTCGTGTCCTTTTATGTCAATCATCAACCCTATATGTGGTATAACTGTTCTTTTAGTGATAATTTATCATTTTTGGTTTCGTATGTGATTGGAATTCTTAATTTGTAGCAATGGTGCAAAACACATTTTTGTTAATATTTAGTCAATGGACAAGTCAATTAGAAAACAAAATGTGGATCTAGACTTAGTGTCTGTTGATATATTTCAGTTTCTTCTGAAAGTAAGCTGAAATTTTGTTATGTTTGTATCTTTGTCATTATGGCATTGAATAATGAAGTGAAAAATTCATGTGAAGAAAGGCTACAAAAAATGATAAAAATGACTTCAATGTTGACAGTGATCCTCTTACATTTAACTACATATGTTAATAGTAACAAAAATATTTCAAATATTAAAAATATTTGTGATAAGTTTTGAAATTAATATCTTTATAAGGATGAAGAGTCGGGGCAATTGATACTTGTAATTTTTATCTAAATTATAGCTCTCTCAAAATGATATAAAGCTGAACATCGTAATTTCGTAGTCGGTGAGACAGTTGGAAAACATTGAGTTATCCGAGTATTTGATTTAAATGAGAGTGAATCAAATGTTTGATGAAATTTTTCAATGGAACAGACAAAATATTTCGAATTAAAGGGGGTCTTCATGTTATACAAATTCAAGATAATAAGGTTCATCAGTCCAAAAAAAATGCAAAATGGTTTTTTCTTTTCCTTTTTTCAATATTCATGTTTTCTTGGAGAGTTTTTTTTTTGTGTTTTTTTTTTTTTTTTTTTTTTAAATCAACGTTTCAAAAACATTTATGCAGGATTTACAAAGTGCAACTTTACTTCAAACTTGAAATGTCCAACAGATGAATTTCAACTCCAAGGAACATCTTTTACAGTAGAATGTTTTGCTTATTAGACTGAAGACTCCCTCTTTAGTAGACCAATACCAGGTAACAGATCCATGTTGGAAAACCTGGTTGGACAGACCGCTGTTGACTAGACAGTTGAAAAGTTCTTGTACATGTTACATTTACAGAAAATTAGATACTTCATGTGTGTTGAACGTGTTAACATTTCATGATGTTGTCATAACTTGTTCAATATGATTTGAATGTGACAAGTTATTTTCCGTCCAGAAAAAGTAATTAAATGTAGGAATATATTCATGTAACTTTTGTCTTTTGTGGTTTAAATTGAATAGTTTTGAAAGAAAGAGAAATAAGATCTCTTATAGATCATTGGTAGATCTAGATAAAGGGGATAATCACACAAACAGGTCTATAGATCATGGGTAAATCTAGATAAAGGGACCATCACACAAACAGGTCTATATATCATTGGTAGATCTTGGGAAAGGGACCATCACACAAACAGGTCTATAGATCATAGGTAGATCTAGGTAGAAGGGCCATCACACAAACAGGTCTATAGATCATTGGTAGATCTAGATAAAGGGCCCATCATACATACGGGTTTACAGATCTCTGATACATCTAGATAAAGGGGCCATCACACAAACAGGGCTATAGATCATTGGTAGATCTAGATAAAGGGCCCATCATACATGCGGGTTTACAGATCTCTGATACATCTAGATAAAGGGGTCCATCACACAAATAGATCTTTAGATCATTGGTAGATCTAGGTGAAAGG